ATGATAAAGGTCAATGTGTTTGGATCAAGTTAATATTAAAATAACATAAAGTACCTCCTTTAGAGTAATGGGAGATGTGTTTGTGGTTGTACTTTAAACTTTCGATAGAATAATTCAATCAATCCCCCAATGAGATCGATAGGAGTTTTATATATGTTCCACATTTCAAATTATTCTCATACTAATTATTGGTTTTATACTTTAGTTCTAAATTGTGCTACTTTATTCTATTTTTTTAACCTTTCAAACATTAAACATTTTGAGCTATGGATTTAGATTTTGAATTCCAGTATTGAGGCCTGCATTAGCTTGGGATTGAGCCAAGCTTAGGCAGTTGCTTTTTTGGGTTGGGCCAATCCAGGCCAAGGCTTGTAGATGTAATTTATATGAATAAATATTTAAAATCCACTAAATATCAAATTTCAAAATATAGGAGATTTGGTAGACCAATGAGATGCATAGATGCTTATGTCCCGAAAAGGATTTTGTAAAATCTGTGAAGATTCTAACCTTACTTTCCATCAAAATGTGCCAAAGGAGAGAGCCTATAGCATTGCACCAGAGGATATTACGCTCATTTGTGAGAGGAGTGGAAAGAACTTCTCTCATGAAAATGTGTATTTGCTGAGGAAGCACAAGAGCCACATGGAAGATCTCAAAAAGGCGATACCAAAGAGCCGTTGTGTAAGGGAAATGAAGGGAGAGATGGTCCATAGATTCAGAAGAGGAAATGCAGAGAACAAACCAATTCGGACTAATACAGATATACGGTGAACGGGCTTGAAGCTTGTCCTGTGTGTTTATGGCTCGATGAAGAATGCACATATGAAGAATTTGCACTTCTTGGGATAGATATGTTTCCATAATTTTGTGAAGTGTCTGTACTGTGGTTGTTGTTGCTGCCCCGTAGTCTTGTTTTCAACGATTTCACAGTAAAAATACCATCCCGGGAGAAAATCCAGGTTGGAGCATCAGAGCCTCTGTCTTCTGATGGTGCAGGGAACGAATTTGATATGCTGCGCCATGGGACAAGCTCCCTATCCATAAGAGGTCGCTTTGGAAAAAATTCCATGAATTGCTCTTCTGATAAAGAGAGATCATCTTTGGCAGATAAAGCATAAAGATGGGGTGGGGGGCCGCCATTGCCTGCCCAGTTATGATGCCAAAAAATGTCCAGTTATGGTGCCAAAAAGTGTCTCTCGACCATTTCACAATTTCCAAAAATGTGTGTCATCTTTGAAAATTAACAAATACTAAAACATATATATTATTTGAGTTCTATAATCGTTTAGTTCGAATCGGAAACCTCAACATCAATGTTAATCAATGATAGATAGCTTAAATTTACCTTAATCCAATTAGCTTATAGAGATTGTATGTTTAAACTTGTCATTTCTCCCCTATTTAATATTGATTTTCACTCGTTAGATCTTGTTTGAAGTATAATTTTAGAGTGAGTATTAATAATAAGGGAGAGTCTTTTGCCGGCCAATGGACAGTACCCTCCCTTTAGTTCCCATTTCGGTTTATCTTGTTTACCAGTTGACTCCAATTGACGTGCTATCTTGAAGTGATCCCTTTTCTATTGAAACATGCATAATCCCATCGTATTCCAAATCACATCCATGAATCGAAATGAGGAGTATACTCATCCATCAACCCTTTGATAATAGTTGTCTTATCTCCGTGGAGTTATAATCGGACAAAATATATTACTTGAGAGTTCAAAACATGTAAAAAACACTTTTTTTTTGTTTTATTGAAAAAAGTTTAGTATATACATTTTTATTGTTGTTTTCTAATTTTAATTGCAACCAAAAATTAAAAAAGGAAAATTTTGTTACTGAGATACCGCCGTCATCCGCTCTACCCTCCATCTTAATTTAGAAAGTGAAACAGTCCATTAATTAGGTCTTGAAGTGTATATTAAGAGACTAATTATGGCCAAATTTTAGCACACCAAACGCACATACTCTCTCACTTTGCAGTCAGTCAGAGAAAGAAGAGTTCGAAAAAGGTTGAAAATCCATTTCATAATAATGTGTTCTTTGCATTTTATATAGGTCACCTTGTTGATCGAGTAGTAGTTATCACGCGTTTGACTAATTCTTAATTTTTACAGGTACCTCCGTTGATTAGAACAGATAATTAATGGGGTGAGATTGAGACAATCAGTTTGATTGTTTGAGATAATTTTCCTATGTTTTTTGTTGATCAAATGAACTAACGCTTTGGCTTCAATTTTTGTTTAATTCCCTTATTTTTGTATAATGCAAAATTTTCTGTTATCATACTCGGTGTGCAATAGGTAAAGTTTCCGTAGAATTATGTACATCGAAAGAAGCCAAATTCATAGTTTGATTATGCTTTGTTACGGTCTAATTAATTACTTCTAATTTTGTGTTTTATTTACATTTTTATTGCTTCTATTGATCCAATGGCCAAGTGCCACGTAAGGTATTGGGTTTCCTAGCACCTCTGCCTAACTGATTAGGAATAGGGATTAGGGAACCAATAATTTTTCATATTACAAAATAATATAATTATTAAATCTTAACGACAAAAAATCTTTACTTTTTCTTGGTTTGCAGAATTTAAATTTTGGGAAATATTCAAGTTTTTAGATGAAGATGGGACCAATAGAAATGCAGGAATCGAGGAGGGTTATTATTTGTAATTGTAAAGATCAGGATGTTGTTGTTGTTACTGTTCATGATGCTGATGCAACAGCAAAAGGGAGCAATTATAATAATCCTAATCACACTGTTTGTAAGTATTTGTTCTTTTTGGTATTGTTTTTCTCGACGGAATTTCGTATTAGTAGCGATAATTTGTTTGGCTGTACAGTCAAAAAGAAAAGCAGGAGTCTTGAGTTATATAAAGCGGCACGCAGCGGTGACTGGAAGACGGCGAAGTCTATATTTGAATTGGATTCATCAACTCTTACAATGAAGTTAAATGATGAAGGAGACACTGCTCTTCACATTGCTGCTGCTAAAAAGCATGTCTCTTTTGTGCATAATTTGGTTCAGCTCATCTCCTCATCCGACTTGGCTCTCAAAAATGATAGAGGAAATACTGCCCTCACTATTGCCTCTATGTCGGGTGTTGTAAAAATTGCCAAACTAATGGTGGACAAGAATCCCACTCTCCCAAATCTTCTCAATCCTCAAAATCCTCAAAATCCAATTCCTGTTTTTGTTGCAATTGCTTACAAGCGCAGAGACATGGCTTCCTTCCTCCTCTCTAAGACCAATTTCTATGCTTTACATACTTCTCAACAGATTCAACTTTTTATTGCTACCATCTCCCTTGATTATTATGGTAATTAATTTGCCTTCCATCATAATTTATCCGCATCAAAGTTTGCCAATTAATTAATTATATCTTTCTCCTTTTTCTTAAACAGACATAGCATTGAAAATTCTTAAAAAGAAACCAGAATTAGCATTGGAACGGAGGGAGGAAAATGGCGACACAGCTTTGCACGTCCTGGCCAGAAAACCATATGGAACAATTGGTAGCAGTAGTGAGCTTCGGAAAACATATCTAAAATTCTGTAATACCGTGAGATTTCTAGGTACGTAAATATATATATCTATTTGAAGCACAACTATATGTATATATATGATATGATATGATGTGTTATATCATGTTTTCTCTTGCTAGGCTTCAAAGGACTCTACAATAAACTTTTGATGCAAACATTAGCTCGTCGAGTGGTTGAACGTTTATGGGAGGTTATTTTTGGTAGCCTTAAAAAAGACGATATGAAAAAGTTGATCCAAAGTCCCTCTATATTAATGCACGATGCGGCAAGAGTTGGAAATGTCGAGATCTTAATCGTGCTCATTCGTTCATGTGTTGATCTGATATGCATAGTTGATGATGATAATAAAACCATGTTTCACGTAGCAGCTGAAAATCGACAGGAAGATGTGAAAGATGTCTTCACTTTAATATATGAGATAGAAAGGATAGACACAATAATGACGAGAAGAATATTGTCTATGAGTTGTGAGAAAAATAAATGCTTCAGCATGCTACATATGGTTGCAAAATTGGCTGCTCCATCTCACTTGAGTAGAGTCTCCGGAGCTGTTCTTCAATACCAACGAGAGAGTGCATGGATGGAGGTATGTAGAATCTTTGATAATCTATACGCACGGTTTAATAACCAATCTCTTTCTAAATTTTGAAAAACTTTAGAAAAGGAGCCCTCTTTTGAGAATACAAAAACCATTTCTACCGGTTATGTTTCTAATAAATATTAATATTGTGCTATGGGAATGAAATTTTAATTTTACTTTTATCGTTTCTATTTTTTGCAATATATATATATATATATATATATATATATATATATATATGATATATATATATATTTGAATTCTGTGTTAATAATTTCTGTTTTTATAATTTCTTTATAGTTTCATTTAATATTTTTCTTTTCCAAAATTCATATTTTAAAATTTTCTATTGTATAATTTATGTTTTGTATTAATTATTTTTTTAAATTTATATTTTCTCATAAATTATTTGCTATTTTTAAATAAAAAAATATTTTGAAAATTTATTCTTTATTTAAAACTAATACTTTAGACTTTTATGTCAAAAAATAAAAAAAAATAAAAAATTATATAGTAAATTGTATTTCCTTTAATGAATTATATTCTTCAAGTATATTTTATATTATATCCACTAAATTTTATTTTACCTTAAAATAAAAATAAGTCAACTTGAACTAAGGCATATATCTCTGATGGAGAGGTCGTGAGTTTGAATCCTAAAACAATAAACAAAATGGTTACCAAATTTATTCCGATTTTTTATTCGGAAAAACTTAAGAAACAAGAAAAATATCTAAGATTTGAAATGTTGTAAAATTGAAGGCCGTGCAGGACATGATCAAGTTTTCTGAGCATTRTATGATTGGATCTGTTCRTKTACGATWTAATCATGGGATTSTTGATCTAGCTTATCATAGATGTTGGTCGYYCAACCCTTTGTTCGCATTGATGCAYGATGACCTTCTAGGCGAGTGTAGAGAGCAGATCAGAATTACAGCATTCACGTGTATGTCAATGGCAACCTTAATTATAATTGTGGTTTCCATAGCATCCTTCATGATGTCAAAGGCCAATTATGGCCATGGGGACAGTACTACAAACAATAATATTATAATAATTCATACTTTCTGGCAAAACCATGGATTCACTGTGTTCAGAACATTAAACATTGTATCTGTGGTGTCATCTATAACTTCGATACTCGGCTTTCTATTTCTTCTTCTGCCGCGCCATTTTGAAGGTGATTTCTTGGAATTGGTGCCCATTAAGTTGATGRTGGGACTGATGATGCTATTTGTTGCTGGAGTATGCATGGTGTTGGCTTTTAGTGTCATCTTCTTCACTGCAWATCATCAACYAAAGGCTAAGCCTTTGGTGGCTATTGGGGCAGCATCCACCCTTCCATTTTGCTATGTTTGTGTGGTTCACTCAAAACTTGTGGTGGGTTTTCTGCG